TAATCCCAGCATAGTGATGCAGTGCTGTGCACTCAGGAGGCAGAGGCAGGAGGATCTCTGTGAGTTCAAGGCCAGCCTGGTCCAAGACTAAAGAAAGGATGGAAAAATGGAGAGGGCGGAGAGGGTGGATGGTGTTGACCTAGGCAAAGAATGGAGAGAGGGCTGAGTCCTAGCTCAGCAAGCCCACTCACCAGCACTCCAGGATGATGCGGACTGCCCTTGCTTCCTGTCTCTCTCTGCCTGGCTCCTCTGTTCCTCACATCACTCCTTTCCTAGCACCAGAGACCATGTGACCTGTGAGGATGCATCAGGGTCGGTCTGGAGGAAAACAGCTTGTTCTTGTGTGTTCCCTGCCTGATTTCCCCTATGCTGGGCTATTATCACAGATGGAGAAAGCACATGACCTGGACCTTTCCTCAGTGTGAGCTCTGCATCCTGAGAATTACTGGTTTTAGCTATCTGTAAAGATTTCTGGAGAGCATTTGGATGAGCAGTTATTTGATATTTTTGTATCTAGGAACTAGTCACTCTAATTTCTTACCATCACATTAGTCTCCAGAACAAATTCAGTATCGTAAGTTGTATTGCAGTGCCCTACAAGAAGCAGGCTTGTGTGCTTCTTGGTGACTATTGCTTTTTCCTTTCCAGTTGGCCTTACAAGTTTGCATAAGTGTTTTCAGTGTGTGGGTGACAGCATAAACTCGTCTTAAAAAGTATAATTCTATATGTCTATTCTAATTTTTGAGTATTACTTACTTACAAAACTATACGACCAAGCTTCAACAATAGGATGAAATTTGTCACTGTCACTGTGAGTTTGGCATTCACTCCTTTCCAAATTTTCCAACCTATACAAAGATTTTCAACGTAGTCATGTTAAAGAAAGCAAGGCTAGTAAAAATTTAAAATAAAAAAGTACATAATTAAGGAGCTTATCTGTTATGTTGGATCTCATTTTGTGTTTTTATTCTGTTAACATTGACAATTCCGGTCTTAGAGATGAAGACACATTCTCACTTTTCCTCATCAATGCCAGGTTCTGATCCAAAGCACGTATAAACAGATGATTTGCTGATCTGGTCAGTGATGCAGAGCTCTCGTAGCATGAGACAGCTCTCTGATCTCCACAGATCCAGGTCCTTCCTTCTTTTCTGCCTAACTTCTCCTGCCCAGGACCCAGGTCCTCCCCTCGGACCACAGGCCTTTATAAAGCTGCCCTACCACAAAGATCTTTACTCTCAGAATTTCTATAGCACCTTCAGTTTATGCCAAAACATTCCTCACTTGATTATATGTTATCTCGGATCTCTCTCTAGTGGTTTGAAGCAGTGTTAAGCACATAATCCGTGCAGCCTTTTGAAGAAAAGGCTTATGGGTCATGCACAAAAAAGATGCTATGCTGAGGGAAGACCACAAGCACCCACACACAGGAATTTGTTAAAGTCAAACTCTGGCCCTCAGACAGGCAAGCACAGTCTCTGGAGTGTTGCTCCATCAACCAGGCTGAGGACGATGCTAGCTCATCAGATCCCAATGGGAAGAGTAACTGTTGAGTATCACCACACACCCAAGCCCTCAGGCTACCATCTCACCTGGCTACAGGTCAACCAGCTGCGACCACCAGTGCTTCTGGTGAAGATAGAGTTGGGGTGGTGGTCAAATGATTTGAGTACTCCAAAGATTAGAGCAAGAGTGATGCATGTCTTTGTTCTAAGGATATACCTGTGCACATCATTGGATGGTTTGTGTCCTTCTGAGGGATGGAACACAGTAGAAATTGCTTTCTAACTTACTCTCCCAGAGAAGGTGCTGATCTAAATGATTACTCTGTGGCTTTCTGTGATCTCACAAGTGACCAACTGTCTTCCCAACTGTCATGATACCTTTTATTTTTATGTGTATGAATGCTATCTATGGCTGCATGTATGTAAGTGCGCCCATGTCATTCAGTGCCTGCAGAGGAAGAGGGTGTCAGATCCCCTGGAGCTGGAATGACAGGTTGTTAGCTGCCATGTGGGTGCTGGAAATCAAACCCGGGTCTTCTGCAAAAGCAGCCAGTTCTCTTAACCACTGAGCCATCACTCCAGCCCCCAACCATCATGGTTTTTTTTAAATGTTTTACTGTTATTTTTATTTTATGTGTATGAGTATACTGCCTATATGTGTGTAAGTGCACCCATGTTGTGCAATGCCCACAGGGGTCAGAATACGGTGTTGGATCCCCTGGAGCTGGAGTTACATATGGTTGTTAGCTGCCATGTGGGTGCTGGGAACAGAACTTGGGTCCTCTGCAAGAGCAGCTGGTGCTCTTAACTGCTGAGCCACCTCCCCAGTCCCTGTCATGATTACTTAATATTAGGTTTTAAATATAGCTGACTAGCTGCTGGTTTGTTCTTACTCTTAGTTGATGTGTCTCCACTTTATTTTTTAAGACAGGGTCTCTCTCTAAACTCACTAATTTGACTAAATTGTATGGTCAGAGAGCTTCAGAAATTTGCCTGTTCCTGTCTCACCAGCTCTGAGGTTAAAGGTGTGCTACTGTACCCAGCTTTTTCCTGGGGTACTGAGTATCTGAACTCAGGTCCTGCTTGTGTGGCAAACACTTACCAAATGAGCCATGGCCCAGCGCTTCTCAGTTAATTTAAAAAATAATCTGTGCTCAGATGCGCATGGGCGTCTCATGCCTGTCATCCTAGGCCTCAGAACACTTACCATTGCCTTCCTTACCACCTATGGAAAGTGCCACTCGGTAAAGTGATAGATTATCTCTGCAGCTCTAGTGTAAAATCCTTAATAACATACTCCACACAAACATGTATTGGGCATTACACATCATGAGTGCACTTACACACATGCAGACAATACACTCATGCACATAAAATCCCAGAACTTGGGAGGCAGAGGCAGGCGGATCTTTGTGAGTTCAAGGCCAACCTGGTCTACATAGTGAGTTCCAGGACAGCTGGGGCTACAAGGAGACCCTGTCTCAAAAACTGCAAAAATAAATAAATAAATAAATAAATAAATAAATAAATAAATAAATAAATATAAACATTTA